GTATATGGTTAACAATGGTCAGTGAGCCCAGTATGTCATGCATAAAAGTGACTGACCATCAGGAGCAGCTGTTCCTTTGGTCAAGTTCAAAGTATAGGATCGAGTAGCAGCAGATACAAGGCTGGCGAGTGCCAGAAGAGAAGAGAAGGTGTTGAAAGCCTTCATTGGAAGAGAAAGTGATGTATGCAAGGGATGATGGTGAAACAGGACTTCATACTTCGACTCTTATACCTCGACGAGTCGTCCTCTGCCGAGGAACGAATACAATCGGTTGTCGAAAGGTCGGAGAAAGACGATCAGATGGAGTATACCGTGACCGACGGCATCAAGTTACCATATCCGATGCGAACCAGTCGGGTCTTCAGATAAGTCTGAGTGACCTTGTGCTTGTCAGATGTCGGAACCGTCAACGACATACTATTCGCTGCCCAAGCTGTTTGGAGTGATATTGATGCTATTTCCCCTTTGAGTTTCGGGGCCTTACCTAACGTCAAGTTAATCCAACAGGTACGCGTGTCCCCGATGTGACAAAAGTTCCAAACTCGGATGTAAGACGTTCCCGGAAGATGGTCAGCAGAGGTTGAGTAATCCCAGGCAGTGAGCCGTTCAATAGCACGTCCAAACTGGTCGGCAACGAAGCTACTTGATTGTAAGGTCCACAGGTCCCAGAAGGCAAGTCAAGCTTATGGCGCTGACAGAGGAAGCGGCGTAGAACAGATGCGAGCGGATGTTCCGAGGACGAAGAAGATATTGTCGTTGACAGCTTCACACCGCGGTGTTGCCGACCGTTGGCGAATATTATGTTATTGACGCATTCATCAATTATCACAATAAACCAACTTTGATCTTTGCCGACTGGGGTTCGGGTTACTGCCAAGACATCAATGGCATTACCGACGTGCGTGAGATTGTGACTACTCCAATAAGATTAGAGAAAGCGCTTACCGAGGGAACCAGCCGGCGTCTACTGTTTTACTCCTACGTCACATCTTGTGATTGAATGTAGAGAAAATTGGGAAGTAGATTTTGTTCCTCCCGAATTCTCCCAAACGCCTGATAGCTGTCAATGAAGACCCAGCCGGTGTCGGAACAAGACGAAGGCCCCGACGATCAATGTGTTGACGGATCATACCGCCGACTCATTTAAGTAGTCATTTTTTCGACATCGAAGTTGTTCCTTGTGCCTTCAATGTTTCAAGACGCATATGCTGTCTCTGGAGCAAGAAACCCCATTGAGTGCGTTCAAAGAGTTTTCGGTCAGCATAAGCCGACTATCGACCGTTGTGCAACTAAAAATTATACATAGAATGGAGTTGAGTTGCCCTGCAAAAGTGTTGTGACAGCTCTATTCGTCAGTTACCAACATCAAGAAGGTATAGCAGCGATTGAGGTCGGCATGATGGTTCAGATTTCACCAGGAGACGTAGAAGAGAAACTGTGGGATAAAATGATCTTTGGTATCACGTGATCAACCCTGACCAGTGAAGTTCCTACCCGGGTGTTTCCAGAGCTTGTAGCCAATAACTCTCATCATTATTATGCTCAACGACGCAATATAGCTGTATATCCGAAATGTCTCAATTGCTCAAGCAGTATTCTCCGACCTCACTTTTCGAGGTACATCAAGCTTCTGCATACCGCTCGCCACAGCCGTGACACTGAATTGGAGTGGTGAAGTCAACTACCCCGGACGAGA